CAATTCCAGATGTTTTCTTCCCAATTCCAGGAGTTTCTCCCCAATTCCAGATGTTTTCTCCCCAGTTCCAGGAGTTTTTACCCCAATTCCAGGAATTGTTTCCACCTCAATTCCAGATGTTTTCTCCCCAATTCCAGGAGTTTCTCCCCAATTCCAGATGTTTTCTCCCCAGTTCCAGGAGTTTCTCCCCAATTCCAGGAATTGTTTCCACCTCAATTCCAGATGTTTTCACCCCAATTCCAGGAACTGTTTTCACCCCAATTCCAGATGTTTTCTCCCCAATTCCAGGAGTTCCTCCCCAATTCCAGGAGTTTCTCCCCAATTCCAGGAGTTTCTCCCCAATTCCAGATGTTTTCTCCCCAATTCCAGGAGTTTCTCCCCAGTTCCAGATGTTTTCTCCCCAATTCCAGGAGTTTCTCCCCAATTCCAGATGTTTTCTCCCCAATTCCAGATGTTTTCTCCCCAGTTCCAGATGTTTTCTCCCCAATTCCAGGAGTTTCTCCCCAATTCCAGATGTTTTCTCCCCAATTCCAGATGTTTTCTCCCCAATTCCAGATGTTTTCTCCCCAAGTCCAGGAGTTTCTCCCCAAGTCCAGATGTTTTCTCCCCAATTCCAGATGTTTTCTCCCCAATTCCAGGAGTTTTCTCCCCAATTCCAGGAGTTTCTCCCCAGTTCCCGCTCCTGCCCGGAGCCAGCTCAGATCCTCACCACCTGGGCGGCCACGCAGGGGCTGCTCCGGGGCTCAGCCCCGGGAACGGCCCCGGAATTATCCCTGGGATTGTTCCCGGCGCTGTTCCCAGGATTCTCCTCTGGATTCTCCCCGGAATTATTCTCCCCAGGATTGTCCCTGGAATTATTCTCCCCGGGGTTCTCCCGGTGCCGCTCTCTCCGCAGCAGCAGCCGCCCGTAGGTGCCCCCGGCCCGGCCCTTGGTCAGACGCCCGGGATTGATGCAGACACAGCCCAGGACGTCCTGCAGGGAACGGGAATCAGGGAATGGGAACGGGAATGGGGATGGGAATCAGGGAATGGGAATCAGGGAATGGGGATGGGAATCAGGGAATGGGAACAGGAATGGGAATCAGGGAATGGGAATCAGGGAATGGGGATGGGAATCAGGGAATGGGAATCAGGGAATGGGGATGGGAATCAGGGTATGGGGATGGGAATCAGGGAATGGGGATGGGAATCAGGGAATGGGAATCAGGGAACGGGAATCAGGGAATGGGGATGGGAACGGGAATGGGAACAGGTGTTGAAAACCCACGGATTCAGTGGAACCAGGAGCCCACAGGAACCCAGATCCCAAAATTCGCCATTTCCAGAGGATTTGGGTCCATCCAGCCCAGCCCCAGCCCCCAGCTTCAATCCCGGCTCCAATCCCGGCTCCAATCCCAATCCTGGCCCCATCCCATCCCAATCC